GGGGGGAGGGAGATGGTGCAAGTGAGAGCAGAAGGAGAGAGGAGGAGCGGAGGTGTAAGGAGAGGGGATAGGGAGGGTGATGGGGATGGAGCGAGGAGGGGAGGGGTGGGAGAAAGAGGGAGATGAGGAGGGTGAGGAGGAAGGTGAGGGCCTACATTGAGGGAAATCTCCTACATGTTTACCCCCTTACACCTCATGCCACTACCCTCCTCCATGTGCCCATCACCCTGTCCCGTACCCAGGCGGCATCCCGTGCCCTTCTCCCATCCCCTGCCCCGATGCCCCTCTTCCCCATTCCCCACATCACCCTCTCCCACCTCCAGTCCCCTACCTGTGTAGGGCTGAAGCTGGTGAACTGGGCCGAGGGCAGGCTGAGCTGCCGGGAGTGGGCCTTGCGCCTTCCCCTGTGCAGTTGGGCCGGGGCCGGGGCCTGGGCCTGGGCCTGGGCCTCTGTTGGGGCCTCAGCCTCCCGGCTGCACTCCTCCAGCTGGCCCCGCAACTCGTGCTTGCTCCGCTTGGCCTCCTGGAGTTGGGCCTCCAGCACTCGCACCTCCTGGGTCCTTTCCTCACAGGTGCGACGGCACCTCTGGAACTCTTCCTGCAGCAGGCTGTGCTGCCTCCTCAGGCCAACCAGCTCCTCCCGCTCCTGCTCCGCGCTGCGCAGCCTCTCCTGCTCTGCCAGTGGCCACTCCCGGGAACTCTGGCGACAGAGCCGCTCCCTCTGCTCCCCCAGCTGCTGCTTCTGGGCCTCTAGCACTGAGTCTTGCTTGACGACGATGGCCTGGGGTCAAGGGGCAGGGGACAGAGAGAGAGATGGAGGGACGGTGAGAGATCAGGGGTTAGTCTGCTCCAATAGACACACAGGCAGCACCAGGTCAATGGTTCACACCACCCCCCCCCCCCCCCCCCAGACCGGACATTACTGACCCCTCCCCACCCCCCGGCCCCCTCCTTTTATCTCCTGCTCTTGACCCTTCACCTCTTCTGTGCCCCCCAACCTTTGGATTATACTCTAACCCTTGATCCTTCACCTCTTCCAACTCTGAACCTTACATTTGACTCTAACCCTTGATCCTTCGCCTCTTCCAACTCTGAACCTTAGATTTAACTCTAACCCTTGACCCTTCACCTCTTCCGACCCCTGAACCTTAGATTAGACTCTAATCCACGACCTTTCACCCTTTTCTGATTTCTGAACCTTCGTATAGATTCCAACCTGGGATTACTCTCCAACCCTCAACCTTTCACCTCTTCTGACCCCAGAACCATGGATTAGATTCTAACCCTTGACTTCTCACTTTTCTGAGCCCTAAACCTTGAGAATTAGACTCTACCCCTTGACCCTTCACCTCTCCTGACCCCTGAACCTTAAGACTTTAACCCATGACCTTTCATCCTTTTCGAGTCCTGAACTTTGGAAATAAACTCTAACCCTTGACCCATCACCTTTATCCTTAGACACTGGAACTGAGAATAAAACAGATAATGAGGCTGTGTAAAGATGGGAGAGTTTAATATCCATGTAGGAAAAGCAAATTGGCAGACGCAGCCACAGGATGTATTTTGGGCCATTTCCTGAGACAGTATAGAATCCTGACAGTGTGGAAGCAGGTCATTCAACCCATCGAGTCCACACTGACCCTCCAAACAACATCCCACCCAGACCAACCCACTAACCCTATCCATGTAACTGTGCATTTCCCACAACTAACCCACCCTAACCTGCACATCCCTGGGCACTACGGGACAATTTAGCACG